CCAGAGCGCCCTTGGCTGGTGGATTCCTATAACGAATGGCTCCAGAGGCTAAAGGTGGGTACAGGTGCCCTCCCTGCCTGACGCAGGCTGATGGTACCAATGTGGCGACCCCTAGGAGCAGGGGTCCTGGGGACTGAGGGGCCAGATCAGGGGGCGGCAAAATGGGAACTGCAATGAGTAGGGCACCTCAGTATAGAGGTCATGTGGGCCAGTGGGCAGCACCGTCCCCAGCACTCAGACTCTGCGGGTTGGCTATGGGTGTGTCTGGAACACTTGGATGCACCTGTCCCCAACTGAACACCCTGGTTTTGTCTTGCAGGGGCCCCCTCATAAATGTGCCTTAATTTTCGCAGATAACAGTGGAGTAGACATCATTTTGGGAGTCTTCCCCTTTGTCAGGGAGCTACTCTGTAGAGGGACCGAGGTGAGTGATGAGACCATGTGTGGGCCAGGGCTCTGCGGGTGCCTCCGGGCTCAGTGGGGATGATGCTGCTCTGGGCTCTGGGGTAGCAGCCAGAGCTCATCCTCAAGCGGCAGGTAGGTGAGGACGAGGAGTGCCTAAGCCTGGGACGTGGTACCTCTGCAGCCGGAGAGGCACTCTTGTGGCCAGGAGTGGGGGTGGGGTCCCCACACAGGATCTGAGTATCTACAGAGGTCACAGGGTGGTGTGGGCGAGGGTGCTTGGTGGGTTCGGCCCGTTGTTAGCTATTGCTGTTAAGTGCCGTGGAGTCAGTTCTGACTCATGGTGACCCTGTATAGGGTTTCCAAGGCTGTGAACTTGGCGGGATCAGATAGCCTCATCGCTGTCAATCTCTCTCTCTCTCTCTCTCTCTCTCTCTCTCATCACTGCTGGTAGGCTCTAACAGTCAACCTTGTGGTTCACAGTCCAGTGTTTATCCTACGAGCCATGGCTCCGTGTAGCCTTGTTAAAATGTAGAAGGGCTTTTGAAAGCCCCAGGGGGAACAGGGCATTGCCCCTACAAAGGGCCCTAAGCGTCTTGGGCCCTCCTTGCCACAGGTCATCCTGGCGTGCAACTCGGGGCCTGCCCTGAATGACGTGACCTACAGCGAGTCCCTCATTGTGGCCGAGCGAATAGCTGCCATGGACCCCATCATCCAGTGGGTGCAGGGGTGCCTGTGTGTGGGGGGTATGGTGGAACTAGAGCCCAGGGGGCTGCAGACACTCCTAAAAAGGGGACGGGGGGTATCAGGCCTGACCTCTTAAGATGGGGGTGGGGGATGGAGGGTGGCCAAGAAAGGTAGGTGTGGCTCCCTGGGGGTGTGGCTCCCTGGGGTGGGTGGGGCAACATGGAGGCTCCGCCCTCACAGGCTCTGACTGTCTTGTGCTCTGGCAGCTCTGCGCTGGATGAAGAGCGGTTGCTGCTGGTGCAGACTGGCTCTAGCTCCCCATGCCTCGACCTTAGGTAACCCGGGGTCTGTTGTGTGCCTGCCCCCTCCTGGCTCCTGACCCCAGACCTCCTCTGCCTTCTGGGAGGCCTGCTGAGGGTGGGCAGGTCTGAGTCTGTGGGCTGCATGTGGCTGAGTGTGTCTGCCCCCAGGCCTCTCAGGCTGTGGTGTCCCCCTCTGTAAGTGGGTGCGCTGTGGCAAGGGCTGGATGAGCAAGTCTGTCCCCCAGTGGCCTGCTGGTCAGGCTCTGTTAGTGTCGTGTTTATTTGTCCACTACTAGCCAGTGACGAGGAAAAATGATGAAACATCTGTGAAAAATAGTAAGATTTTTCAAAGTTAAAAATACAAAAGGGGCTTGTGTGGATTGTTACAGCACAAATGTTCAGAGCTGGGTATGTGGCATCCCTAAGGAAGCACTGGGGCTGGAGGTTCGCAGGAGCCCAGAGAAGTCCCCCAGGCAGGTGGAGGCCTCCAGGAAGAATAGTCCGGAGTCAAAGTCTCCAATAGTTCGCAATGGAATTGGTGATTGTCATTCTGTGAGGGGCTGGGGGTGTTCACACTGCCACTCTGCCTCATGGACTTCCTTCCTCCCCAAAGCCGCCTGGACAAGGGGCTGGCCACGCTGGTGCGGGAGCGAGGTGCTGATCTGGTGGTCATCGAGGGCATGGGCCGTGCTGTCCACACCAACTACCATGCCTCGCTGCGCTGCGAGAGTCTCAAGCTGGCCGTCATCAAGAACTCATGGCTGGCAGACCGGCTTGGCGGCCGGCTCTTCAGTGTCATCTTCAAGTATGAAATCCCAGCTGAGTGAGGGACATGCCCACCACACAGACTGGCGTCAGCCTCCTTGTTCTCCTAGAGAATATATTTTTACCATCACAAGGAAACTGCGCCCTTCAGAGCCCGAGCTTAGCTGTGCTTCTGTGATGCAGCGCCGAGCGAGACCGTGCCCACAGCCAGCTCCGGGTGCCTCGTCACTGTGGCACTTGTGTGACGCGTGTTTCTTTTCATGCTGCGTGTTTGTGATGGGGAACACACCTGTTGTCTTGCGAGACACTTGTGTTGGAGTATATTTAACTGTTAAATAATCTTTTATATATATATCTATCTATATATATAAATATCTGCATATATGTCTTGGACCGAGGACGCCAGCAGGCTCAGGCACACACCAAATAGAGTTTCTAAGACGTGACACCAGGGCGCCTGTGCATCTGCTGTCTTGTTCAGGAGCGTGTGCAGGTCAGGAAGGCCTGACGTGGAGACTGGCTGTAGTTCCTTCTAGAACTCTTAGCCTGAGCTGTCTCCCACCATGGAATCAGCCCCCCACCCTCACGCCAGCCCCTCAGCTGCTGTGTCCTCACGCTTCAGCTTCTCTCACCTGGTTCCCACACCCCTTAGTCCACTGTGTCCATCCATCCCCGACCGTTCCACACGACAGGGCCTCGGGAAAGCCTGTGCACACACTCCTGCTTCCAGAGCCACTGAGAAGAGGCATCGACTACTCTTGAGGGCTCTTGAGGTGGAGACAGTAGCTGTGGGTGCCAGGCTGAGCACCTTGTGGGTTTCTCCCCACAGCCCCTGGACTCGGGCAGACACAGGGGTCTTCCCAGCTGGACTGACCTCTCCAGGGTGTGGGGTTCAAGAAACTGGGTGTACTCTGCTGCCATGAGCATGAGCTGGAGGTAGTTGGGTAGGGTGTGGGGAACATGAACCTGGACTCCTTGCTCTGAGGTCTTGATGGGGCTGGGAGACAAGCTGGCAGGACCCACTCCAGGGCACTCAGCTGGGGCAGCCCTGAAGAAGGGGTGCATGCAGGTACTCCCTGCCCTGGGCTACCAGACTACAGCCCCACCAAGGCCTGCTTATATGCAGGGAGCAGAAAGGGTGGGCTGTGGTAGCACTGTGGCTACTGTTTCCAGCGAGGACCAAGGGAGCCAACTACCTGCAGCCCTGCCAAGGGACCTTGCCCAGCCCTCGCCCCACCCCCAAGTTCACCTGTGGGCAGGCCTGGTCCTCACAGAGCCCTACACACAGGGGGTGCTCCCAGTCCTCTGCTGCCACTCCACAGCCTGCTGAGTTCTGGGTCTGCCCCTCTTGCCATGACTGGTCAAGCTCTGAGGTCTGCCCCTGCATGAAGCCCCTGCCACATGGTGCCCTTGAAAGTCTTTAGGCTTATTAGTGGAGCCAGTCAAACCTGGCCAAAGACTGCCACCAGGTGGCAGCAGGAGCCACTGGGTGACCCAGAACTGGACAGCGGCTCTGGGTCAGCCCTCATGGTGATCTGTCCCTGTGTTCCTTACCCTAGATCTTGGGAAGATCCCCTCCCGGAGCCTCATCCCTTGCCTGACTCCTGCCAGTCTCATGGCCCATGAGTCCCCAGGCTAGACCCTGCCGGCAGCCCCTGCTAGCACCACCTTCTAGTTCCAGCCTGTTCTGAACCCAGATGCCCTTGGATTAGAGCCCTGGGGAGGTCTGGGCCCACATGTATCCTTGTTTTGTGACCTCTCTGACCCTCAGTCCCAGGCTGTCTGCCCTCTGTTCCTGAGCTCACCCTAGTTGCCCATCCTTCAATCCCAACCCCTGTGAAGAGCAGAAGTGGGGGACTGACAGGTGCTGGGGTGGTGGGCTGGGGCCACTGAGCTTTGCCCCACCTCAGTGTAAAGGGCCCCATGGGCAGGGGTTAGACTGCTGACCTAGGGCTCACCTGTAAGGCATCTCCCCTGCCCTCAAGGGCCCCTTCCATCTGGGGAGGGAGCTGGGCTGTTGAATCAGGTGCTCATGCCCCCACCCTGACCCCTAGCTTCCCCAAAGCTGTCCCATTTTTCAGCTTCCCAGGGTGGGGGGAACACTAAGAGCTTCACCATGGGGTGGGGGTTCCTGCATTCCGTGTGTTGCATAGCCCCACCTTGGGTGCCTTTGGCCTAGAGTCCCTGCCGCAGGGCAAATGTTCTCTGTTTAAGGATTGGGAGGGACTGGACTTGGGTGACACCCCCGGTGAAGAGTGCATGTGGGGGTTCCCTGCTCTGGGAGTCAGTGGAAACAGGAGTAAGCGAGGGACATACCACAGTCCCCCTGAGGCAATCCCACCAGGTGAGAATACATTTATTGGAGTAAGGTTCCAGAATTTACAATCTAAAATGTCCTGATAGGTAGAACAGGCCAAATGCAGAGTCAGGTGGGATGCAGGCAACCTCCGAGCACCTCTGGGCACCAGGCCCTTGCCCTGGGAGGCGGCCCACACGGGCACAGCTCCCTCTAGCCCGGCTACATATTCTCAGACCCATGGGCTAAACCCAGGTAAAAAAAATGGACCGCAGTGTCATTTCAGCATGGTCTCTAGAAATTTAAATACTCTCTGTATATATCTTAAAATGGAGTGACTACGCCACAAGGCAGGACAGCCTCAGCCTCAGCCCTTTCACTCGGGTGACAACCAGGGCAGGGGCATAGCCACGTGACCCAGGCAGCTGCTGCCACATACAGCTACAAGCCAGCTCTGGGGACCTGTGGCAGGTGCCCCATTTCCTGAGCAAACATGGGCCCCCTGCTACTTGGGCCTGGAGGGTGTAGACAAATCAGGCAGTGAGTGGTCAGAGCCTGAGCAAGAGGGAGCCGGCGGCTGCCCCACACACCTGGCTGGGGGGTCCCTTGGAGGGGGCCAGGATGTCCACGCAGCCCTCGCGACCCACGGAGCAGGCGCCCTCGGGGGTGCCCCGCTCCTCATCAGGGGGCCCTGGTGCACCCAGACCCTGCAACCGCTGCTGCCGCTCCTGGGCCTGGCGGGCCCGACTAGCTATAGCACGCACGCGACTCTGGCTCCGGGATGAGGAGCGGCGCAGGAAGCTGGGCACCCCTGCTGTTGTTGCACCTTCCCCTGCCGGGCCAAGGCTGGTGGGCGAGGTGATGTCTCCTGCCTGCTGGAAGCCCGTGAGCCAGCGCAGCTGCTCCGTCAGGGCATCCAGCTGTGGCTCACCCAGGGGACCCAGGCCTCGGCCCGGACTGCGGGGCCTGCTCTCAAAGCTGGGTGCAAAGTCATCAGCCGTCAGGTCCCCCAGACTCTTGGACTTGGCAGCCACAGGGCAATCCTGGAGGCCCACCAGGGAGAGGCGGCCCCAGGGAGGCCGGGGCCGGGGGCCAGGCAAGGACTTGTGTGGCCGAGGGGCCAGGGGCCTGGGCTGCAGCTCATCAGGTGTAGAGGGCAGCTGGCCTGCCACCCGCAAGTTGGGATTGGACTTGCTCTTGGTCACCAGGGGCAGTCCAGGGCAGGTGGTGCAGGGCCTTGGGGGCAGGCGGCTGGATGGAGCCCCCGCCAGGCTTTCTCGGCTTCGGCCCAGGCCCAAGCTGGGCAGGGAGAGGTCGATGACGGTGTCGCTGGACGACATGCTGGAGGATGAGGACACGCTGTCGCGGTGGCTGCCGGGCTCCAGACGCTGCCATAGTCGGTCACCGCCGGTGGCATCAGAGTACACAGCAGGAACAGGGGAGGGCCCAGCCAGGGACCGCCTCCCGCCCAGTGGCTCTACAGGCACCTGGCTCTCACTTCTGGCCCTTCGGACGAGGGGCAGCTGTCCTTGGGCCCGGGGTTGGCCCACCTGGCTGCCAGTGATCCCCTCAGAGAGCCCCCCAGGACCCCCACCTCGGCATACCCACTGCCTGCTGTCAGGAGGTGCCTCAGTGTCTCTGTGGCTACTGCTCTTGAGCTGGGGTGGCCCAGAAGTTCCCCGGGACACCCCTAGGGGACTTGCTACAGCTTTGGGTCCTTCGGAGCATTGGGGCCCTTCTGGGCAGGGGCTGATGGTGGTGGCCGACGGGGGTGGCAGACCATGGGCCGGCTCCTCGGCAATGGTCTCCAGGCCACACAGAGAGGAGACAGACCTCTGCATGGATGAGGGACGAGCATCTGTGGGGAGAGGAAGAGGGATACCAGTGAATACCCCTGGCCCTGGTGCCAGGGGATGATGGGCCCCAGCAGCCAGACCATACACCAGAATACACGGGTGTCCAGAACGCCCTTCCCCAACCACCCTCTGGACCTGGGGGAACAGACAGGCCACGGGGCCACGGCCGGGTGCCAACCCATGGGCCATGGCAGGGCACGCACACAGCACACAGGGCAGCCGGCCCATTACCTGGCGCTCAGCTGCAGTCAGTTCCTAACTATGGAGGCAGCACAGGGGCAGGGACAAAAAGGAGAAGATGGTCAGAGGGGGCAGAGGGCAGGGGGCTGGCAGACAGACTGACAGCAAGGCAAGGTGGGTACAGGACGGGAGTTTGGAGGGAAGGTAGGAGGGGGTTCTCCCATTCAGGGGCTCGATAGAGGTGTGGGTGGTGCCTGGCAGGACCTCTTGGTCAGGTGCTCAGAGCCTGTCAGCCGAGAGTGAGCCCAGGCCCCAGGCCATGTGGAATCGCCCATCAGCACGCAGAGCGACACCTGGAAGGCCGAAGGCCACCCATGGGGGCTGGAGCTGGCCCTTGACATGTCAGTCTTGGAGAATGGCTGTGCCAGCAGCTGGGGCAGGGGGCAGGAGCCTCGCCTTGGAGGGCCTGGAGATTTGGGGGCAAGGGTGCATGGAAGCCAATCAAGGTCCAGGAAGGGCATCAGAAACACCTCAGCCCCCAGCTCTCCCATAGGCCCCTGTGATGAGGGCCCAGCTGGGAGGGCTGGGGTGCACCAGGCTAGATTTGGTCCTCAGCAAACCCTGCCCACAGGTCCTGGCCTGGGCCACCCACTCCCTGGGGCTCCAGAAGGATCAGGGCCTCCGAGGTTGGACCCGAGAGTGGGATGGGGGGGCCGGTGCTGAGAGGACAGGTGGGACAAGCTGATGGAACACAGTGAAACAGAAGCAGATGGTACATTCAGGGTGGGGGTGTATGACAGGCGTCAGTGGCGATGGAGCCAGGCCATGCCAAGAGCCAAGAGCAGGGACATGGGGTGGGGGTGCCGGCTGGGCCAGCCTTACCGGCTGAGAACATGGGGGATTTACTCCTAATCTCCTCCAGCTTTTGAATGAACAGGGCGTTCATCTCCCGCTGAAGAGCCCCTGGTGGCCTGCGGGCACCCTCAGGCCTGCGGGGGGCCTCCTCGGGGCTGCCACAGCTGTCCAGGCTGCTGGAGTCTGAGGACACAGAGCCACCGCCGCCCGGCCGCTGCCTACGGGCCCCGAGGCCCTCAGAGGCCTCTCTGCTTTTTCGGGGCACAGCAGTGGCGGCTCGAGGAGCCCCCACTGGATCAGCCCGAGCCCGGGGTTGCTGGTTGATGGCTGAGTGGGCACCCATAGGCCCCGGGCTGGGTGGCCGCTCCCTGAGCAGACCCTCGGTGTCCACACCGGCACAGGAAGCCACCATGCACTTCATGCAGGTGGCAGCCATGCCCGCAGGTCCAGGGCCCTCAGGGACACGTGTGGGTGGCAAGGGGGCCGTGCTCTTCACTGCTGCAGCTGCTCTGGGTGCCAGCACCTTACCTCGGGGGCTGACACTGCTGGGCCCCTCGTGGGATGGGGCCCCCGGAGCAGGGTTGGGAGGTGCCACGTCATCAGCTGCCCCCTCGGAGCCCGCGTCCTGAGTGCCGACGACCATCTCGGGCAAGCCCTTGCGGCCTGGCTTGTGGGTCTTGGTGGGAGCGCTGGCTGTACGCCTCAGTAGCCGCTGGCTAACAGAGGGCCGGGGTAGTGGTCGCCCAGCAGCATGACTGTCCAGAGAGCCGGGCTTTGGGCCTCGGAGGAACAAGCCTTTTAGACCTAGAGCCTGTTTGACCTGCAAAGAGAATGGGGCCGGTGTCAGCAGTAGCCAAGGACTGCCCACCCGAAGCACTGGTGGACATGGGCAGGAAGGGGCCGTGAACAGACAGTGCTGGACAACAACCGCCTGGGCAGAGAGCCAGGCTGGCTGTGGTGGAGGCAGGTCCCCAGATGTGCAGCAAGTGGGGCTGGAAAGGGAGGGGGAAGCAGAAACCTGGAACCCAAGACCAGTGCCCATGGTGCCCTGCACCCACTGAGGCTCACAACCCCCAACTATACCAGGGGTGCCAATGTGGAGAGAAAGATATCAGAGAGAGGACCCCAAAAGCCACATGGCTGGCCTCACTCCCACACTCAGTACATTCCTGCCAGGTCCAAAGAGCAGAGCCCTCAGCTGGCTCGGAACTTCTTGAACCCCAATGGGGGCTCGTGGACCCCACTGTGAGCCCAGGGCTCAGGCTCCTGCCCCCCCAGACTCCAGTGCCAGCCACACAGCCTTCCTGGACAGCTGGTCCAGGGTCCCAGTGAGGCAGGCCCAGTCACTGTCTGAAGGGCCTGGCTGCCGCATCCCAGATTTATGCAGGCCAGGGAATGAATCCTCACATGCCAGACACCCCGTGCCCCCGAAACTCTGCCATCCCTGACACCTCACCACCCCCACCCCTCCCCTCCCTGATGACCCTCAGCCTCGTGCATGGAGCAGCCCTGCAACCTGGTGGGCAGTTACCCCCAGCGGCACCTTAGGCAGAAGTGTCCATGAGGCAGCACTTGAATCAGCATCCCGATTCAAGATCCCAAATCCAATGCAGTTTGATCAGAGTTGGCCAAAGTCATTTAGAAAAAGATCCAGAATTCAGGCTTAGAGCTCCTGGATGCAGGACCTTCCCAGCCCAGACAAGACTGGGGAGCAGAGAGGGGACTAAGAGATACATTCAGGGCAGTACACAGTGGGGAAGCCCAGAGATGGGGAGGGACTGGAGGGGGGGGGGGCAGAGATAAGGGGAGGGGCATAGACTGAGAGGGAACACAGGCCTAAGGAACATAGGGGTGGGAAAGGAAAGGGGTATAGAGAGGGAGGCAGGGGTGGCAGGGAGACAAGTGTGAAGAGAGGGCAGGGTCTGCAGGGGGAGAGGAAGGGTTTCCATGGGTGGGGGGAGGGCTTACAGAAGAGGAGGGGGCATGAGGAGAGTACAGATGGGGAGAGTTTGCAGAGGGTGAGGGGAAGGAGGGGCCACAGTAGGACTTGGGGGGGGGGCATGGGTGAAGTGGGAGGAGCCAACGGAGGGCAACCCCAGGGCCCTGCCCAAGTCCTGGGTCTGCTTTGTAAATGCTGCTCTGGCTGAGAATGGCCCGCAGAGCCCCAGAGCCACATCACCCACATCACACGAGCGGACAGTTTCCAAAATGCTACCGAGTATCGGATGCTAATGAAGGGCAGTGGTCTGAGCATGCGGGAGGGGGGTGGCACCGTCCTCGGGGGTACCTTGGAGGCTCCTAACAGGGCTGTGCTTCTAAAGGTGGACTTTGCACAGAGACCCACTGCAAGACCAAAGAGACAGAGCGAAGGCAGGTGAGGAGCAGCATGGCCGGCGGGGCCCAGCAACCGTGGGCAGGCAGACACGGTGGACGGACGGATGGACGGACGGACAGACGGACAGACGGTGAGCCCCGGCTCTGGCCGGCACCTCGGGTCCCGTGGAGCAGCAGGAGAGAAGGTCAGTGCTAGGACCAGGATTGGCCTCTGTGCCCAGCATCCCCAGGGACTGGGCCTGAGCTGGGTCCAGGCATCTGTGCCTGCCCTCTGTCAATGGGGGTACCAGAGCCAGTCAAGGGGATGCCGCCTGCAGAGTTGGGGGGCTGCCTTGGATGGGAAAAGGCAGGGAGAAGGGGAGAGAAGTCTCGGGGACAGAAGGAGGAGCTGGCCATGGTACCCCAAACTGAAGGGGGGATGGGAGGGCCTTGGTGAGTCACCACAAGGGTTGACTAAGCCCCTGGGCACCACAGTGTTCCTGGGGACAGGGAGGACCATGTCAGCAGGCTCAGGCAGGAGGGAGCCCAAGGGTCAGGAGCCAGCATGGCGACAATGGGGGACACTACCTGATGACTGATGACAGCCCAGCAGGTGAGACTCACCTTACCACTGACGTCACTGATGGCCACGTGGACAAAGATGGAGGCCTGCTCCATGCCCTCTAGGTACACATGCCGATAGCCTGCAACAGTGGTCATGGGCTCCCACTTGTCCCTGGTCACCCACACTCCCTATTCATAGGTCCCTGAGTGCACCAACATGCCCCTAGAAAGCCTACTGGGGATGTTCTAGCCTCAGGTACAAGGTGTTTCATGTTCCCCTCCCCAAGTTGGTCCCAGCTCCCAGGGCTTCCTTTGTCCCCCTCCCCAAGCTCTCTGCTTGTCCCTTTGGCCTGACCTGGCCCTACCCACCCACGGCAGGTACCCTCCAGCCCCACACCTGGCATCATGCTGCTGAAGGCCAACGTCCTCTGGCCGATGAAGTCCCGGCCGATGGGGTCATGATCCCACACGAGGAAACGGATCAGTGCCATCTCGGGCATGTGTACCAGGAACACCAGAGTCTCCTCCCACATGGGGTTAAATCCTAGAGGCCACGGGAAGGAAGGGAATCACCTCCCTGCGCCCAGCCTCGGGGCCAGCACTGTTACTTGCATCCAGGGGACAGTGTCTACTGACGGCCCTGAATTCGGGGAGCTGGGGTGCACAGGCTAATGGACTCCCCATTGCCTCCCTTCCCTCCCTTGCCCCCCAGCCCCGCTGCCCCGCTGCCCCGCGTCCCACCATTGTCGTCCACCACTCGCGTCTGCTCCTTGTTGCAGTCCACGGGGAGCCCGATGATCTCCACCTCCACGAAGGGGTCAATGATCTGGGACCCCAAAGGTATAGATGGTACCCAGGACCCAGGACCCAGGCTCCTATAACACCCCCACTCTGCCCTCTTGGCCTTGGGGCCCAGCTCAGCTCAAGCAGCCCCCTCCTACCTCCCTGTGGCCCCCACCTCTCTATGCCTCCCCCCTGCATTATATCCTGCCCCCTACTGTATGCAGCCCCCTACCTCTCCACGGTCCCCCAGCATCGAGTCCCGAGGCTTGGGGAGCTGCTGCCCACTGATAATCCGAAGCACAAGTTGCTTCTTGAGCTGCCCAGGCAGTGGGTCCTCAGAGTTGGGGTTGAAGACACCTGGAGCCAGAGCAGGAGGCTGGGTAGGCATGATCTTTTCTGAGCTCCCACAGACCTCAGGTGGGCACTGGGGTACCAGTTGTCCAATACCCCCATCTCCCATTTTACAGGTGGGAACTTCAAGCCCAGTCGAGGAAGTGACATTAGTTCATGGCAGGTGGCTCTGAACCCCATAGCATGGGACCCCCACATTCCATCCTACAGGTGAGTTGGGTGCTAAGGGACTTGTACATGCTACCTCTGGGTAGGGGACAGAGCCCGAGGCTCCTCAGTGAGGTGGGGACCCTGGTGGGAAGGGGCCCAGGTGGTTTCTCTGGCAGCATATCAGGGACTGTGAAGGCCAATAATTTGGCGGGGGGACAAGTGCAGGTAAAAGACAGTCAAACACAAACCAAGAGGGGGTGCAGAAAGAAAGATTAGGATTAAAATGGAAATAAAAATCCATGTCATTTTCAACATGTCAAGAAGCAATTGAAACATCTGAGAGGGGAGAATGTGGAGAGGGGAGGAAGAGAAGAGGGAAAGGGAAGGAGGACGGGGAACCTCCCTAAAGTGCCCAGGCCAGAGACAACTTGAGGACACCTAGGTCTACAGTGTCTGCAGTCTGAAATAGGCCCAGGGGAGGGGAAGGGAGGCTGGTACTGTGCCCTGTGCCAGCAAATCTCATGTATCTCGGAAGCTACATCCTAAGGCCCCCTCACCTGGAGCTGCCGTCCATACCCCATTACAGTATGGTGTAGCCTCCATGCAACTTCTGCCTTCCTGGCCCCAGCCCCCCACCCACGGGTCCCCCCTGCACCTCAGGCACCTCACCCTGGCACATGCAGGAGGGCTTCAGCACGTAGCCACAGTTGCCATTGGCGCTGAACTTGGCGCGGTTCAGCTGCAGCATACGTCCCTCAGACTGGTAGTTCAGGGCAACTGCAGGGGGAGGTGTGGAAGGCCATCACAGCTGGCCTGTCATACTTACTACCCACTCCCCACCACCATGGCCAATGGGGGGCCCTAGGAGCTACATGGGGCCCAATCCCAGGTTCCCAGTTCCTAGTGGGCCACTCCAGGAGCCAGGCACAGCCAATCCCCTGTAGACCCCAGGGACACGCATGGGCAGTCCCCTGTGTCTCCTGAAGACCCAGCCCAGTGGGCACACGCAGAGTTGGAGGGATGCCATGGAGGCTCTCCTGGGGGTTCCTCACTGCCCCTGTTGCACATGGGAGGGCACCCACCCATCTGGCAGCCGGCGTTCCAGAAGGGCTGTGGGTTGTAGTTGCTGGAGTCCACACGGTAGGACGAGGGGTAGATGCGGGAGAGCTGGTGCTGATTGAAGCGCAGGTACTGGGCAGGTTTCTGCTGCAGGATCTGGTGAGCCTTGGTCTCACTGAAGGATGACACCTGCCAGCTGGACACCACTGGGAGATGCAGATTGGTGGGTGTCAGACGGCCGTCAGCCAAGCTCCCTGATGGCCCTCCCCAGCATGTACCCTGAGGTCAGGGTCAGCGGGGCTCAGGATTCCCGGATACACATCTGTCTCAGGGTGTACCTCCCTGACAGGCACCCGGAGGTCAGAGGCTATGGGGAACAGAGGGAGGCCCTCTCTGCTATGCCCGACCCCACTCACCTTCGGTCTCCACATCATGTGTCCCCACAGACTTGGTGTACTTCACCAGGTCAGACAGGGCCCGTGATAGCTTCATGGTCTTCTTTTGCCGAGTCACCCTGTGGGGCGGGTGGGGGTTCAGGAGCCTAAGGCTAGGGGGATGTGCACTCATCAAAGGGGCTCATGACAAGTGCTGCGTGCTGACCACAACCCTGGGTTCAGACCACAGGCTCCACAGAGCCAAAAAGCCCTAGGGTCTGAGAGGAGCTCGCTGAGCAGCAGATGGGGCAGCGATGTGGGCTGAGGGGTCTTCCTGAAGGTTCTGAGTGGAAAAGAACCTGGAATGGATGGAGGCTATGGGTAGGGGTGGGGGTCTGAGATGTGTGCTGAGGATGGAGCCAGGAGGGTGTGGGAAGGGGTCAGGTATGATGATGAAAAGGAGGGAGGACGACGGGTAAAAGGGGTAGAGGATAGGTAAGGAAGGGGACCAAGGTAATGGGGAAGGAAATGATAGGGACAAGGAGTACAGAGGTGAGGGGGGACAGGGAGGAGGGCAGACAGGTGAGGAGAGACAGCGGTGAGGGGGGACAGGGAGAAGGGATGAGGGGAACAAGTGAGAAGAAACAGAGGTGAGGGGGACAGAGGTAAAGGAGAACAGGTGAGGGGGGACAAGGGTGAGGGGGAACAGAGATGATGGTGTACAATATGAGGGAGGATGGAAGTGAGAGGGGACAAAGTTAAGGGAGGATTGAGGTGAAGGTGGACAGAGGTTATGGGGTTAGGGGGACAGTTTATGGGGGACAAAGGAGAGAGGGTGAGGGAGTACAGGGTGAAAGGGTGGATGAGGGGGAATTGAGGTGAGCGGAGACAGGGTTAAGAGAGGACAGGGGAGCGAGGGAACAAGGGGGAGAGGAACAGGAGGGAGGGGGACAGGTGAGGGGGGACAGAGGTGTGGAGGGACGGGGTGATATTGTACAGGGGTGCAGTGGGGACAGAGGTGAGGACAGGAAAGCCTTGATGTAGGTAGGTCTGAAGGGCAATTGCATGCCTCACCTGTGGAGCCAGGGCAGTAGGAAGACTGGGCATTTGAAGGTGGGATATGAATCCTTGGAAGGGTGTGAGGTTAGGGTGCTGGACCCCAGGGGGAACCCTGAGAGGATGGGAGGGTTGTCCTGGGTTTGAGAGGGGGGGCCTTAGAAGCAGGGATGGGGAATATTGGAGGACGGGGCTGGACCAGGGACCCAGGGCAAGAAGTGAGAATTGGTCCCAACCTCTCTCACCAGCCCCAGAGAGCTCTGTGCATGTCCCCATGGGCCCACCCCACCCCAGCGTCCACTCCTCTGATGACCCCATCAGTCATTCTGGCTCTAAGCTCCCAGGCTGGGACTGCATATCCACCACCCTGCTGCCCCCCCCACCGCCCCCAGGACCCCTGGCACCCTGGATGTATGTGGGCCCCTGGCTGAGCACTGACCCTCGGCTCTGGCCTCCTTGGGGGTCCAGGTCCTCTGCCCCCTCCTCCACGCTGGCTGCTTTCTTTAATTTGCTGCCCTTTTTCTGGCAGAAGGAGAGAGGTGTGGAAATGTACTAGAGCCTCAGACTCTGGCCAGGGCGTTGGGAAGCCCAGGGAGCTGCAGCAAAGTGAGCCCCTCTGGGGCCCCGCTGCACCACCTCCCAGTCCCCTCCACACCTAGCTGTGGCCACCTCCAGTCCTCTGCCACAGCTCTGCCCCACCTGTCCCTGAGCTTGGGTCAAAGGAGGTATTAGCCAGAAAAAGCACCAGGGTATCAGCTCCCATGCAGCCCCTGCCCTGGTCCCCCTCCACCCACCCCAGTCACCTATAGCTGGCTTTGCCATGCCACCAGGAAACTCAGAGAGCCAGACAGGTGGGAATGGAGACCCAAGCCATCCCACACTGGAGGACCGTGCCCCAGGGGCCCATCAGACCTTGCGCTTGGAGAAACTGTTCATAAGAAGCCGGCTGTTCCTCCGGCTGGCTCCAGCGTCCTCTCCAGAGTCCACATCCTCCTCAGCTTTGCTCTGATCCCGAGGGAGAGAAAGCATGGAGGGGTGAGCCCAGCCTGGGGAGGGACCCAGTGGAGGGAGTTCTGGGCTCCCAGAGCAGATCCCAGTTCCACTGGGGGGGGGGGCAGCGGGGGCAGCTGCTGGTGAAAACCCAAGTGCAAACGGGGCCACTGAGACTCTCATGGAAGTAGTCTTGCTTGCACACGCTCATTAGCTTTACAAGATGTGTTTCTTTAAACTCGTCATGTTCCCAGTTCCAAATGGTTTTCCATAGAGAATGACGGCATAGCACACTCAGTCTGTGTCTGGAATGTTCCTCAGCTGTCTGCTTATGTAACCCCCACAGGACCCCCGTGTTCTGACACCCGACGGCTCGGCCAGCACAGACAGGCTCATTAGAGGAGCGAGGCCAGGCTGTACTGAAAACTGAAAAACCAGCAGCAGAGCAGCCAGGTGCAGGACTGACCTTCCTCCTGCTGGTTGTAAAGCATGTGTCCTGGGCCCTGACTGCTCCCTGCTACCTCTGGACCTGCCCATTCACCCGAGGGTCCTTCATACCCAAGCCCTGGGAGCCTGAGCCCTCACCACCTGCCACTGCCAGCCCTTTGATACCAAACTTAGCCCAGCTGTGCTTAGAAGGGGCCCCCATTCCATAGACGCACAGCCCTGCATGCATCCCAGCACATAGACCCCTGCATCTCTGTAATTTGCTCCTTCACACGCCCCTGTTCACACCCCTGTATGCATACTCCTATAAGGAACTCTGGTAGCATAGTGGTTACGAGGCGGGCTGCAAACCGCAAGGTCAGCTACTCGAAACTACCAGCTATTCCATGGGAGAAAGATGAGGCTTGCTGCTCCGGCAAAGATTTACAGCCTCGGAAGCCCTATGTGGTTAAAGGAGTCCTGGTGTGGCACTGTGGGTTAATGCGCCAGACTGCAAAACCATTTGAACTATAAGGTCCGTGGTTCAAGCTCACCAGTCACTCCTTGGAAACCCTATACAGGGTCACTATGGGTCGGAACGGACTCAATGGTATTTAACAACAACAACATACACACTCTACTTTCACATGGGGCTGCTATGCCACTGGTGTGGGCAGCTGGGGGCCCTCCATCCCCTAGTGAAGCGCAGCATTCCTTCCTGAGTCTCAATTGCCTGGTGACATTCACAGCTGACTTCCAATGTGGCCTCAATACTGGCCCCTCAGAACCAGGAAGGTGGTATTGGCAGGCTGGCTCCCTGCTGAGTGATGAGTGAACCACGAAGGTCTCAGATCCCCAAGAAGGTAGACACTCTCCACATTTCAGTAGCGCCCCCAGTGTCACCAGGGGTCAAGAGTTAAAAGAGCAGCCTCACCTCCCTGCAGGTGGAGCTTGAGTGCTCTAGCACCCCCAGACTCAACCCACCACACCGGGTCCAGTCCTTTGCTCTGGCCTATGTGTGAGCAAGGCCCCCTCCTGGGCAACTCCCACGGGCCCAGGAGCACAGAACTGGGTGATCCCAGGGAGGAAGGAAGGTGGGCATCTGTCACAAGTAGGGTGCTCCTGGCCCCAAGATCCACACTTCAAAAAACCCCCAAAGGAAGTGTAGGGAGCGGGTTTCTGGGATATACCCTTTGGGTGGTTGAGGATGCATGGAAGGGATTGGAACCATGGCAGTGAGATGATATACGATGGAATGAATGTAAAACTAAAGTTCTCCCATGTAAACTATCATATAATTCACAATAAAACATTAAAAAAAAAAACAAAAAACCCCAAAGGGCCCAACCACCGGCATTCAGGAAGCACAGAAGGCCTGGCAAAGGGGCAACTTCACAGCTCACAGAACCACGTGGACACATATGAAAATGGATCATGTCACCGGATATACTGCCAGGTCAGACAGACAGCCTATCGGCTGTGGCTGTGGCAGGCAGCTATCCCAGATCGTCCTCCCTTCTCCTGCATCAGAAGCCAGGACAGACACAAGCCCAGGCCCCAAGTCTGGCTGCCTTGGCCCTGTTCTCTCGCTAACTCCCCGAGCCCCTGGCAGGGCAATGCTGGGTAACAGGCATTCACCATTAGGGTCCCAGTTGCTCCCAGAGATGTGTCTCCTTCCATGGCCCCCTTTTCACTTATTGATGAAGCCAAGGCGTTCGAGAGGTGCTGAAAGCTGCTTTTGAGTTTGCTTGGTGTCTGTGGAGACTGACACACTCCACCAGTCTTCAAACATCATTACCAAGGATGACTTGCACCCATAAACCTGGGCAACAACTAAGGAAGCAGCCAGTGTTGGATTGCCCAGGAATAAAGGTAAGCACAGGCTTCCTTGTGCTTACTAATCTATAGTGAACAATGTCACATTTTTTGGTCTGGCTGGCATCTCTCTCTCTCCCAACCCCACTGCACCTTCCTACAGCATCAAAGTCTCTTTTCAAACGGAAAATTCCTAACAGGGATGGATACCCAGTAAGCAAGGTGTGCACAGACTCACTTGTGCTTACTTACTAATCCACAGTGAGCAGTTTCACATGCTCTTGAGTCAAACTCAGATGAGATGGCTCTCTATAAGTTAGTCAGTAAGCACAAGTAAGTACTTTGCGTATTGGGAATCTCCCCCAGGGAGCAGCTCTGCCAGCCCAGCTTCCTGGAGGAGGTACCACCATGATGACCCAAGTCTCTTGGACCACGATGCACTGTCACCAGCATAGCTCAAGCTTCCCCACAAACTGGGCAGAGGAGAGGGCCAGGCAGGTGGCCAGCAGAGGAGAGGGCCAGGCAGGTGGCCAGACAACACCCACCCCAGGCAGGACACAGTCCCTCCCTCCCCCTAACAGCCCAGTGCTTGGGCTTCACAGCCAATTGGGGAGGACTGAGGGGAAGGGTCTCTAGCAGAGGGTGAAGGCTGCCCTTGGCCGGTGCCAGCCACACCCCCTGGAGTTGTGCCACATTGCAAGAGACCCTTCATGCCCATTCGCTCCTCCCCTCCAGGCACCCAGAAGTTCCCCCTACTGCACCCATAGACCCCTCCTATAGGACAGGGAGCATTTAGGACCCAGACTCATCATGCCCTCAGGACCTGGTCTGGTGAGGACAATGCCTGTTCCTGTGGGGGCCGCTGCATCAAAGTCTGCATCCCTCCATGAGCTTTGTGATTAACTAAGTCCCCCTCCTCTCGCTTGCTGCCCCTACCCAAGGATGGGCTGGACCTTGCTGGGCTCCAGCATGTCCCCAAGGCCCCTCCAATCATTCTGGGCTGCATTCTTCCCCACTCCCCACTAGACTCTACTCTGTAAGAGAGGGCCTGGGGTGGGGGGTGGGGTCAAGGTGGGATTCCACAGCCTCCCACCCCCCAAATTTAGCCTGAGCACCCACCTTGTCCATCTCCAGGAGTGAGCCCTGCCTTACTGTCACAGAAGACCACTCAGACTCAAGTTTCCAGAAGTCAGCTGCTTTCCTTTGAACCCAAGACCCCTATGTGTCACCTCTAGGACCCCTAGGTATGTTTCTAGGATCCCCAGGTATAACATGGGCTATCTTCTGGCCACCTGAGAGTGCCAGGTGCTCTGGAGCACAGGTGGTCAGCTTTCGCTCCACCTCTCTGTCAGGGGACCAGAATAAGTGTGCGCCTGGCACCACGGGACCTGCTGGGGCCACCTGCAGAGTGTCACCAAGATCCCCGGGCGTCAGCTGTGCAGTGTGATGCTGTGCTGGTGGGCGGAAACAAAAACAACCGCATCTAAAAATACAGGTCCCAGCAGGGGCACGGGGAGGAGCCACTGCTACCCCACCCCCACCCCCACCAAAATCTGGAAAGGCAAGAGGTTTCAGGGGGTGTGCAGGGTGAGCCAGCACCTACAGTGGGGCTCTATGAACCAAGAATGGGAGGCACCCCTACCCTCCATGGGTGCCCTCCACCCTGCCCACCCCACTCCAGGCCTGCGCCTGCCCCAACACTCAGGAAGCACCAATGCTGCCTGAGGCTGCTTGGGATAGTCGGTGGAGAGCCGTACCCAGGCACGCTTGACCTCCTGCCCAGCGGGCCCCCAGATCTCCTGCCCAGCGGGCCCCACATCTGCCCTGACCCCCCTCTTACAGCCAGTCTCCATGAGGATAATTGGCCCACGGAGCTGTGAATGGCTCCCATCCGGCAGGGGAGTCATCAGTCAGGGGACCAAGGCAGAGAGTGCCTTCGGCAGGGGACCCATCTCTCTGCACTTGGCTGTGCCTGCTGTGGGTGGTGGGCTGCACCGGAGCCTGACATTCTCTCACTAGGAGCATGCTCGTCTCACAGCTACCCCTGCAGGGAGGAGCCTCAGGCTGCCCCCCTCCCCCCTGCCATCAGCCAGTCCACCTTGCCAGCCCCACACACTCCTCAATGGAGTTTCTGGACTGAGAACCTGCTGAGCCCCTCCCAGCCATTCACAAGACCCCCTCCTAAGGCAGGGGACATAGCGAGCCTGTGGGCAAACCTTCTTCCATTAGGAGCTGCAGTCACCCAGAGCTGCCCACCTTGCCAGCTGAAGATTGGGTGGAGGGTGTGGGCTGACAGCTGCCTGCAGGTCTGCCAGGAGCTGAGCGTGACTGTCAGACTATGAATGAACTGCCAGAGAACGTGAAGGCAGCCACACCAACAGTGTGTTGCCAAGCCCTAGACCGATTTGTTCAGTAACAGGGTAAGCAACTCAAATCCTTCCTCAAACCGGAACAATTCAAAGCTAATTGTTGAACTCTAAGGGGTCCCTGGAGACAGAGAATGATGCCAGTGGGCAGTAGGGCCTCCAGCCTTCATGTGCATCCGTGCAGGTCTGTGTGCGCCATTCTGTGTGTGTATATAAGTGAGTATGTGCATTTGGACAAATGTACATGTGGATACAAGTGTGTGTAGTTGCTTATACAGTTGTGTGTGTGCAGGTGTGTGGGAGACAAGGTTGCATATACAAGTGTGTACATAAATGTGTGTGCAGGTGTGTGGGGGCAAGGTTGCATATACAAGTGTGTACATAAATGTGTGTGCAGGTGTATATAAGCAAGAAAACAAACACACAGCCTTGGAGTTGATTCTTACAGGGACTCCACAGGACAGAACAGTGTTGCTCCACAGGGTTCCCGAGACTGCAAATCTTTACAGGGACAGACAGCCTCATGTTTCTCCAGTGCAGCAGCTGGTATGCTCCAACCACTCACCTTTCCATTAGTAGCCAAACACCTAACCCACAGCATCACCAGGGCTCCTTGCAGGTGTGTGTACTCAGGTTTCTGTGTGTGCAGGTGTTCGTGTGCGGGTATGTGTGTGTTGCTATGTGTATACAGGTGTGTGTACATATTCAGGTAGCACACTCCAAATTCCTCATCAGGCCCTCTGGCCAGGTTCCAAAGCTATACCTGTAGGCAGGGGACAGGTATTAGGAGCCTCACCTTCTTGCCCTCGACCCTGTGCCCGAGCTTCCACGCTGGGGATAATGTGGACACGGAGAAGTTATTGGGATCTTCACAGTCCCGGATCTTGGATTCCTTGATGAGAGAATCCAGTCTCCTCTTTGCGATGTTCTCCACGCGCTTCCGGTTGGTGGAAGCCTGTGAGAGTCAGATAGCAATTTGTTGGTGTCTGTCTCCAGCCCAGTAGTGGCTCAGGTGAGCTAGCTGGGGCTGCTGGAGCCCGTCCCAGTCCCTACCTTGCTGTAGATCAAGTTAGTCATTCAGAGGGCATTTAATTTGCTCTGGGGAAGTGAACTAAGGTCCAGCTGGTCCTAACTCCCACCTCCTTTAGCTACAGGATGCTACCGCTCCTGGACTCAACAGTTTGTGGGTGTTCACCCACTGGGCCTCAAGGCTGGGGGAAGTCAGTGTACCTTCAACCTGACCTGGCAGTTGGGCCTGCCACAGTGGAGAGACTGCTTAGCACCAGAGGCAGGTATGGCTCCCGGTACCCCATGACTTTGGACATCGCAGGGACAGGGGTATCAAGAAACCCCGGAAGCCCCATTTTTAGCCAACTCAAGTGGACGTTGGGGACAGTGCCTGCCATCTCCTCAGCAGATGAGAAACACACAGCCACCCTCACCCCCAAACTGAAGGATCCACTGCCTCAGGGCTTTCTAAAACAATTAGCTGGAAAAGTTCCTGGGCAATTATCTTCCCATCTGATGGCCCCTCAGGGAGACACAAAGTCATGTCAGCAGCAGCTCAGTGCTGAGGCGCCCCGAGGAGAGAGGCATTAATTACAGAGCCCCCAGCCCTGCTACGTTCCAGAAACTCTCCGACTCCTGAGCTGCATTCCCAGCCCTCAGCCCAGGTAACTGCTGGGAGGAGGGATAGTTAGGGGATCTGTGAAGACAGAGGGGACCACCTGTGGGACAGGTGGCTCTTCCCACCCACATCCTGGCAACTGAATGGACCTCCAGGCTTTCTCTTTCAGGTGAGACCAGTTCTGGGTCCAGCATGGCTGGGCAGGGAGCCTCTGCCCGAAGCTTGAGCCAAGGTTGACCAAAGAGGTCCGGATGGGGAGGGAGACCTGAGTTGCGTCCAGCTGTGCAGATGACAGTGGGCAGGTCTGGGACCAGGGAGACTACTTCTGACTACTGAGGACAATAAGAGGACAATGTAAGCTGAGTGACAGTTCTTACACGGTGGTTCAGAGATGGCAGCTGAGAAGGGCCCCCAGAAGACATGTGTCCATCACCCCAAGAGGCAGTCCCACTGGGAATCCAGTAGGTGGGGGTGCTGGCAAGGAGGGGTCCCTATGTGCCAGAAGTTCGGCCTGCTTTGGAAACCCCCTGGTTCCCAACGTCCTCCACTTCAGCTGACTTCCCCCTCCTTAGGCTGTAGGGCCCCCAATCCCCCTGCCTTGGCCCCGCCCCCACTCACGTCCCCATTGAGAAGCTTGCAATCATCATCAATTTCATCGGCGCTGTCTTCGTCAGACACCTCGCCCTCCTCAACGTCCTCACTGATGTTGGCCGGGAGCTTCTTCCCCTGGGGTAGGAGGCAGACAGTGGGCGGGGTCCAGAACCTGGGGACTTTTACCCAAAAGGAGGAGTTGGCAAGTGGTGGGAATTTTCTCTGCCTGAGGTAACTCGGGGGGCAAGGTAGGGACCAGGGCTCATCACCAGCAGCATGGCAGAAGTGCGATCAGTGTGCACGTTCATGGGGTATTCCTAGGTTGGCACGGCCACTGTGTTACACAGGGGGAGACTGAGGTGGGCTAGGGCGAGGCCTGTCTGGTCCTAGGTCAGATGTCTAGTCAGATGCGGGCCCCAGGAGGGGCAGGGGCTGACCTTCACCAGAATCTTGCCCTTGAGCATTTCTGGGGAGGGAAGCATGGTCAAGTCTTCGCCATTCACTGATGACAGGTCCAACTTGTCCCCGAGAATATCAGTCAGGTACTGGGCCATTTTCTTCTGCTGGACAACACTGCAGTGGTTCTCAATGGACAGGATCACTGGATACCTGAGGCCCAAGGTGGGAGAAGCTGGGTGATGCTAGGGGTCTTTATCAAGAGGCCTGGACAGATTGGGGCTGTCAGCGGCTCCAAGAGGGGGCCATTGATAACTTTGAAAAACAGCTGAATGGGTGGGAAAGGACTGGGAGGTTTCAGGAACAGAGAAAGAAGATATGCATTTCACCTCTCAGGAAGAAAAAAGAAAGGCAATTAGGAACTCCAGGAAAACAAAAGGTGATATCTGTGAAATCTGTAGTTCAAAATTGTTAAACATGACGTTAATCAATTGTTGTTTTCATTCTTGTTAAGTGCCTTCGAGTCGGTTCCGACCCATAGTGACCTTGTATAGGGTTTCCAAGGAGTGGTTGTTGAATTTGAACCACCGACCTTGTGTTTCAAACCGACCTTTCAGTCCAGTGCATTACCCAACAGTGCCACACCAGGACATGAATCAAAAGATGACCCTTTGAGCTAGACACTGGAAATACTACTCTCAGATGGCCTGAGGTCCCAACACTGGCCCCATGGAGGAGACATAAGACTGAAAAACACCATCTGGCAGAACATGGCTCTTACCTGTGGGTGCAGAATGGGGAGGAGAGCTCTTTTGTTTGACGTTTTCCAAACCATACACATTTTCCTTACAGTTTTACCCAAAGACAGCCATAGCTCTTTTAGAAAATGTAACCCTGACAGAGAGGGCATGAGTCAGAGCAAGAAACGGACAAGTGTTGTGTTGTTGTGGTGGTGTTCTGGTGCTGAGAGATAGAAGTGGGGAGAAAGCAGGACTTGGAGTGCAGATCCTCATCCCATCCCCATTTCTCAGGCTGGCAAGGAGACTGAGGCCTGGAGCCCAGGGCCTAGGGGGAGACGTGGATATCTGGGGTGCATGCCTGTCCTGAGGCTCTGACTGGTGCTGACTCTTTGGCAGCTGCAGAACTCCAGTGCTCTGAGTTGCCTTCTCCACCTGCAGCCCCAGGGGCTGAGCCACCCTACAGTAGCCTCCCAGCCGCTGAGACAGCCTGGACTGCCCTTCTAGTATGGGCCCTCTGTCACGATTTCTTCAATCAACCTGCCTCTCCTCCCACCTTATTTGATTAGCTTCTGCCTTGCCTTCAAGCCTTGTTTAATGGCGACCTGAAGGTAACTATCCAAGTAAGGGGGCGGTCTTCTATTTCCAGAAACTAAATTGAATTTTGTTCACCGGTGTCTGTTGCCACAGCTGAGTGACAGCAAATTGAGTTCGGATGCTTCTTGGGGATAATTAGGACCAAAGTCACAGCAGGCGCCTGACACCCAGAGGTAGCCACCAAGTAAGTGTGGGCAGGGGAACCACTTGCACGCACCTGTCATGCTAGCCTCCTGCCTCTGTCCCTCTCTCTAGAGCCAAGCTGTAGGTCCACTCCCTACCCTCTCCCTCAGTCCGAGGCTACTACAGTCATTGCCTCCCAATTTTGGAGAGGGGCAGGAAAAGCCAGAACCTTGCACCTCACCCCCACTCCTTGGGGCCAGTCCCCCAGTCCAAGCCACTCATTGTGACAACCTGTTTTGTTTCTTTTTGCTGTTAGTCACTTCCGACTCTTGGCGACGCCATGTGTGCAGAATAGAACTGTGCCATAGGGTTTTCAGTGGCTGTGACTTTCCTGAGGCAGGCTGCCAGTTCTTTCTTCTGAGGTATCTCTGGGTGGGTTTAAACCTCCAACCTTTTGGCTAATCATTAAGTGCTTTGCCATGTGTGCCACCCCGGAAGTCCTACTCACTCATTCTTGATGAAAGCGTATTTGTTGATGGTTTCAATGACATCTTTGAAAAGAATCTTGGAGGTCAAGGTGTAACCATGGTGCACAATGGGTTCACCATCAGGGCCATCCCAGCAGTCCACTGTGGGCAGACAGGCCACAGGTCAGCAACAAGGTGCATGTCACAATTGTCCCACCACCAGTATGAGGACCCCAGCAGAGGACCATCTACCTGCTCAGCAGCAACACTGAGGGGAGGCCTCAGCAATCCACCCCACCCACAGGAGCCTGCCAGGGCACTGAGGGGGAGGGGGAGGCGACCACTGCTCACCCTCCACGCAGCGGCATCCACCTTGCAGGACCCTGGCATACATGTCCACTCGGGACTGAGACATGAGCTGGTCACCCACGAGGTAGGTGTTGTGGGAGGAGGTGATGAAGTAGTGACTGAGTGGGAGGCTCATGTCCTGGTGAACGCTGTGGTGTGCGGGGTTGAAGATGTCACCGACCGGGCTTCTTGTGTAATTGGTGAAACCTACAAAAGGTGGAGGTGGGAGTCAGTCCTGTGTATTCAGCCCCTAACATGGCCACACCAGTGGTTCAGCTCATAGCCACCCATCCCCCCACACCTCATGGGGGCCCCAGCAGCCCCCCAGGACAGTGGACACTCACAGTCCCCACTCACCATCAATTCCCAGCACCCCCTTGCTCTTGTTTTCTGGGCAAGGCTCAAACTGCTCAATGATGTCCTGGCAGCTCTCCAGTGTCATGCCTGTCATCTAGGCAGAGTGTGTGGAGGGTGGTGGTGAGGAACCCAGGCTAGACCATCGCACCAGATGTTTGCTGGGCAAATGGTGTGTAGAGGTGGCCCTGGGCTGGACTCGGGGGAAAAGTCAGCCAGACCCATGCAGGGAGCATGGACATATGGGAGTCAGTTCCCTAAGCCTGGGCCATACCAGCCCCTGGAGCAGGCTGATGTAGTGATGTGAGTGGAGCTGGGGGCCATCAGCAGAGACAGCTTCCGGGCTGCAGAGGCCTGGCTGTGACGCTGCCCTCCCAAGCTGTTGGCTTCCTCACCTTCTGCTCTACTTCCAGGAAGCGCTGCAGGTCAGTGGCATCCAGGTGATCCTTGTGGTTGCTGTACGTCAGCAGGAGCAGGTAGAGGTCTCGGCGGGTGGACATCACTTTGTAGAAGGCACAGAACTCCTCGAAGTCCAGAGTGCCCTGCTGGTCATCTGTGTCTGCTTCCTGCAACCCAAGGACTCTGGGTCCCCATCTATTTCCTCACATAGCCACAAACATTTCTCAGACTCATCCCCTGAGTCCAGCAATGCAGGTCCACCCCCACTTCCCATTTCACTGCCACATCATCTTGTCCCAGACAACCGTGGCTGTGTCTTTGCTGGCCTCCTACTTTCTGTCTCTCCACCAAGAAGCCACTGGGATGACCATCCTAAGACACAAATCTGAACCCATGACTCTATGTCTTCCAAAGTCAGTCTACACCAAACCCGACACCATCACTCACTCACCCTGGGCTCTACACCACTGAGCCTCTAACAAAATAGACACTCGGCAGTTAGGAATGTTCATGGCCCCTGGAGGCCCAGGCCCCAGACTCCCCAGAAGAGACATGCAGGACCTGTTCTTGGTCCCTGCCTTCCCTTCCTCACAAGATACCCACAAGAGCCTTCCCGGGGCTTTCCTCAGGGCCAGTGGCTCCATGGTGAAGTCCTCCTACCAAGGACTCCAGTGATGATATGGGTTCCTTGGTGAACCCACCAGCTCACAGCATTTACTGATAACATACAAAAGCTGGGATGCTAAGGTACAAGGCACAGCCCTCCCAGAAGTCTGGGGACAGAAGCAGAGGACAATGGTGTCCCAGCAACTGGAGACCAAAGAATGCCTAAGGTGCCCAGGAGCTACTAGCACCTGGGGTGTGCACTAAAGGCTGCTTGTGATGTTTGAACATAGAAACTGGGCTGAGGCCTGGGGGTGAAATGAGAACATGACCCACTTGGAAGCATTGGGCTCTGGCTAGAACCCAGCTTAGCCACCTCTTGTCAAGGGGTGCCTGGCCCCCTGCAGCTCCACCAGCCTGATGCCCACCTGTTTGTGGGTGCTGACAGGTTCAGAAGGAGCCACCAACCCAACCCTGACCACAGCTATGCTGAATTTCCAGGCCTGGTACACCAAGTACCATGACCACTCTTGTCCATAAACACTACCTGAGGTCACAGGTCTCCACAGAGCCTCTAGACCCCCATCAGTCCCTATAACAGGACAAAGCCTCACACAAGTAGAAGTAGTGTCATGCCCACCAGGCAGCAACACCAGGAAGCCCCCTGCTGTGGGCAGGGGGGCATCTCAGCAGCTGTTCTTGGGGTCTCCCAAGGAAGCTGGAAGAACCCAGGAGGGTTTCAGAAGGGAGGGATCAGGCCACAAGGAGTCATTCTCTTTTTAGGACAACCCAACTTCCAGGCACAGATGAGGACCCAGGGCCCCACACCCCCAGGGCATGGTGGAGACCAGCACATCTAGCAGGGTCAGAAACAATGTCAGCACCATGGACAGCACCACCCGCTGGCCTCCTCTAAGCCAGGAGCAGTCCAGTGAGTGTGGCAGCCACAGCCACCCTCCATGTCCCTGTTGCCAGCAGCAGGACCCTGATGGGCTTCTGGCTGCACCCCAGAATGGGGTTGAGCATGGCAGTGGGCATCCAGCAGGGCCTCCAAGACTCTCTCTGGGATCCAGAAGCTGAGGCAAGACTGGTGCCAGCTCAGTGTGAGGGGTCCAGGCCAAGTGGTGCCAAAGGAAGACCTGGTAAGTCTGATACTAGATTCAGGTCAGCCATAGGTCTGAGGTAATTCAATAGTAGAGTTCTCAGTTTCCCTAAGAAAGATCCAGGTTCAATTCTCGGTCAATATACTTCCCTCACACCCACCTCCCATCTGTCCATGATTTGCATGTTGCTATGATACTGAACAAGTTTCAGCAGACATTCCAGCCTAAGATAGACTAGGAAGAAAGGCCTGGCTGTCTACTTCTGAAACCAGCCCATGAAAATTTTCTGGATCACCAAAGTCTGATCCACAGCAGATCGTGGGAATGGTGTTAGAATGGGCAGTGTTTCGTTCTATTGTGCATGAAGTTGACAGGAGTCAGAGCCCAAGGAGGGTGCCCAGAGATCCCCAAATGGGCCCTTCTCCAGTCCCAGGAACTGAGCACCCTCATAGCCAACCGACCAAGGGCTTTGTTTCCCTCCTGCCTCATCTGGTCCACATACAACCTCTCTTCCCTGGAAGGGCTGTTGATCCCAGAGCTGCCCCTGGAGCTGGGATGGACTGGAGTATTGGGCTGGTGGGTGACATGCCCAGCCCCCTTACTCCTCATAGGCAAGGCTTGAGACTTCCTGCTCCCCTCCCCATCCACATACAGACATGCTCGCTCTGAGCCAGGCCAGCTGCCTCACTGCAGCCAAGCACAACTGCTCTGTCTGTCTTTTGACAGGCAGTAAGAGCCCAGGGTTCTGCAGGGGAGCTGCCAGGCTTGGGGAGGGGGGAACGCAGAGCCTGTTGTCCAGCTCCAGAACCCTCCTCCAGGTGGAAGCAAGATGCTGAGACCCAGGGAAGGGTGGGGAAGTTCAAGATCAGCCTGTCCCTACACTGCCCACCCACTGGAGCAGCATTGCTAACAGCCTTGCTCCCCCACCCCAGCAGGGGTTCCAGAAAGACAGACACTAATTACAAACAATAAAGGCTGCAGCTCTGGCTGAAGCATCTAGGGGATGCATTTTCATAACTTCTAAAAGCGGCTGGGGCGCTGCAGAGACGAGAAGTGGGGGCTGGGTGGTGCCTATAGGGGTACCTGGGGCCCAGGCTGGGTGAAGCTTGTCCAACTGTGGTATTGTTAGGAGGCCAGGAGACAGTCCCTAGTGATGCCCAGTCCACCTGAGTAGGGCTAGTGGTAAATACCCGGCTCCTCCTTCCCAGGACAGGTGGATGGGGCCCCTGCCAAGCTCCTCCCTGTGTATGCTGAAGACCACCTCTCTGCAGATGAGACAGCACTGCCCAGGGCCCCTCCCACTCAGGCAAGGCCAGAACACCCCGTCTCTGCAGGTACCCTACAGCAGGAAGCCCAACCTGCCTCACCTTGAACATTTGTTTCACACGCTGCCTCGGCAGGTTCACGTTCAGCTTGTGTAGCAGCTGAAGGACCTCGCCAATGCTCAGGCTGCCATCCCCATTCTTGTCAGCCTCATCGAATGTCTGCTTCAGCCACTTTGGGGCGAGTTAGGGGGCAACACAGTCTACAGGACAGCCATGCTACCCACATCCCGTGCAAGCACCCAACTCCATTCCTTGTGCATTCCCGTTTCCCCTTCCCCAGGGTGTTGCCTGGCTTGGGGAGGGATAGGTGGGGATGCCTTTCCCACCCCACCCCACTCCACCCCACCTCAAGGATATTGGTCTCTGGTGCGCTGCCGGCGGGCCAGGCTGTCCTCGTCACTGATGCCAGCCATGAGGTAACGCAGACCAGTGACCCAGATGCGTGCCTCATCCCCACTAGGTGAGACTAAGTCCAGTGAGTCTCGGTGGTCTCCATAGTAGACGCTGAAGCAGCAATTGGGGTCGAAGCTGCCATCAGGGTAGCGCTGGAAGATCTCTGACTGCCGGCCTTCACTTACCTCTTGGATGGAGTCGATGAAGACTGCAGGCGGGTGGGCGGCAGGGCAAAGTTAGCGGGGTCTCAAGTCCCCCCTGGCCTGATTCCCCCTCTGGCCCACAGCCTGGATGCCGAGGGGCCTGGGCCTGCTCCAGCACTAGCTGTTGTCATAGCAACAGCTCAGCGCCAAGCCTCCGTCCTCTAAGCCCTCGGACGCCAAGGCTGTTGCACTTTTCGGGCCCCTTTCTGTGATGGGAATGAAGCTCTGTCATCCCCAGCAGGCACTGCCCCCATTTCACAGAGCCAAGCACTGAAGCTTGGGCAGAGGCGATGGAAAGCATAGGGGCTGGCATGCGATGATCCCCCTCCTCAGGGGTGCCACACAGTGGTCCTCTCATCTCCCACCCATGCTCTGGCCCAGCCTGCTGTGTCAGGAGGCTGCCCAATGCTCAGGGGTACATCAGTAGCGGGAGCCCAGGGCCCCCATGCACATTTCAGATTGGGGAAAGAATGAAACCAAAGTATCGAAGCTCCCTCAGACACCCTCCCTCAGCGCTGACAGTGTGTCCCCTCCTCCACTTTGAGCATAAAAGACCCCCCAGAAGCAGGAAGCCACCTCTCCCCATAAGCACCCTAGATGTCCTCTGAGTCCTCCTCCCCTTCCAGAAAGGCCAGTTGCTAGTTAGCCAACAGCTTCAGCTGCCTGTTAACAGGCTTGGCATCGATGTGGGAAGGGGGCAGGGGGACAGCAGCGGGCTCAGATTTCATCAAGGGTCTCATGACTGGTCTGGGTGTGTTGCTGTGGACAGATGAGCTCACAGGGGCTCTGTAAAAGGTCAGCTCCTGCTCACAGCACCATGGTGCTGGACAAGCAGAGGCTGGAGAGCAACAGGGCCCTGGCTCCTGCCTGGGTAATCTATGTCTTCTAAACATTTCTGTCTAACGTTACTGACCCAGAATGCAGCCAGATCATCTGTCAGTCCCCATGTGAGCTGAGGATGCTGGAACTCTTTGAGAGCATTTTCCAGACCCTGGGTCCCCCATTCCAGCTGTGCCACTGTCATCAGGTGACCTGGGGGTGGGTGACCTCACTCTTCTTCCTGCTGCCCCATACTCCCTCCTGGAAGTCCCTTTCCTTCACCCCTGCTGGCCTTCTGTAGTCCTGTGCACAGACTAGGGAGACAGCCCAGGGAAGAGCTGGAACATATCCTAGGCTCGGGGGAGGGTCTCTCCACCAAACTGCATCTTACCCTTTGTGGGGGCTGGGCAGGAGGGGTGGGGTGGCTCATCCCAGCCTTGTGTCCTGGAGCCTTCAGATCTCAGCTCGGTCGCCCCTTTCCCAGAAGGGCTTCCTTGAACCCCAGGCCACCTGTCCCTTTCTGTCCTGCTGTCCCTGGATGTCTACTGCAGAATGTTATCCTCTCATTTATGGGGTCCACCATGCCTATCCTGTGCCCTGAGGGGCCTTCAGTATGAGGAACAGTGCCTGGCACACTGTAAGGGCTCACAGCTGAGCATGGGACCCCTGTCCTGGGCCCAGTGGGCAGTTTTTGCCCTGCCCTGACTCCCTACAGCTTCCTTCTTGGGGACACATCCCTCACAGCTCACCCGTGCCTGCCCCCTGGGGCCTCTGCCCTCTCTTGGGTGGCAATGTTGTCCTTGGCAACTGCTGGGCTGAGGCCTTGGAGATGCCTGGTTCAACCCAGGTTGGAATGCCAGAGCAGTGTGGGAACTCCTGTCTCCCAGCCTAAGATGATGCTTTGTGTACCCTCCTCACCCCCAGGACCTCCACCCCACCCTTCTCTCTCTCCACCCGTACAGCCCCCCTCCTAGCTCAGGAGCTGCCTCCCCATCCCACTCTAGGGTCCAGCTTGGGTCTCTGTCCACTAACTGGCCTCTTGCCCACCCTAGCATTCAGCATAGGACTGAGCCCCAGGGCACTATAAGGACCCATTGAGTCCCAGAGACTCTGCCAGATCGCATCAAGGTTGGGAAAGGTGGCCTAAAGCCACCTAAAGACTTCTGGGGCAGGGTCTTGCTGCCCCTCCATTGTTCTATGAAGGGTCACTACTCCTTCTCATGGGTTGTCACCAAGGGGCTGCCCCTCACTCCACCATGCCACACCCCACACTTACTCTTGGCTTTCTCATTCTTGCGCGAGGGTCGCCAGCGGATACAGGAGCGGTGCTCATCCAAGTAGTAGAAGCGGACGAGGCCTTTGGAGCCACCTCGGAGCTTCAGCATCTGTGTCCCTGCCTGCATGGCACTCATGCATCGTTCCACTGGGCGTGGTGAACAGACAGACAGACAGAAACACAGACAGTGTGCTGGTGAGCGCTGGGGCAAAGCTACCTTCACAGCAACATGCCTCCTCCCCACTGTCTCATGTGCCCCTGCAGTGCCATCCCAGGTAGAAGGGAATATAATACCACCCACCCGCTGCCTGCTCTGAGACTCCCAGGTGTGACAGTCTGGGGGTAATCCATTGTCAGGGCACTGGGAGACACAGTCACCTTTCCCCTACTGGTCCTAGGATGGAGGGCCCGGCAAGATCTTACCCTGACTGGATCACCTACCCACCTGCTCCCTCCTGGGATCAGGCAGGCCCTCAGGGAACTCTCACAATGGGACCACAGTATTGTGGCTGAGCTGGTAGGCCCCTCTGTGCCAAAGGCCTCTGCTAGTCACAGGGTGGGCCCAAGTGGCTGGTAGACACCCTGTTACACCCTGCCGGGCTTGCTGGCCTTCCAACACATGGGCACCCCGGAGAGAAGCGGGTCATGCTCTTGAGTGCCCACACTCCCTTTCCTGTGACACCAGAAATCCGCCCCTCCTGAGGCACAGATACACAAGCACTGATCACCCTTACTTCTCAAGGCTCCTAAAGTCACAGGAGAAAAGGGAAAGGAGGGTCAGAGGGCCAAACACCCAGACACAGATCCCAGAATGCAGAGCTGATCTGAGCTCCAGAACCCAGGCCTTCCACCAGGCCCACTGCCCTTCTTCCCTCCTTGGTCTGAGCTAGCCCTTCTCCCAGGTCATAGTGGGCCCTCACCCCAGCTCACGATGGTGCTAAGGAGCCACACCCCAGATCCTGGAGAAGAACCTTGGCGGTGGGGTGGGGTACTAGGAGAGGCCTCCCTTAGAGGGAACTGGGGAGTGGCGTCGAGGAGGGAAAGGCATGGGTCGTCATAGGGTCTAGAGGTGGCAACCAGGACGCAGCGCAGCGCAGAGCAGAGAGTCAGATTGACAGACATGAGACCCTGCTCCTTCCTAGGTAGGGGTGTCACCCCACCACAGGTGTCACTGCAGCAAGAAGGTGCTCTGCCCAGCACCAGCGGAAGGTACTGCTGTCCTGCAATATGTCCTGGAACCTCCCTGAGTGTCCATTTTGGCAAGCCAGCCATCCACCTCCCAGGCCTGCTCTGAGGCAGAAGCATTGGAGGGGTCAGGCCAGAGGCTGCTGCTGAAACCACACTTCACTGCCCAAGGAGACTTGAGGAAGGCCGAGGAAGGCATGGGAAACACCAGGCCATGGACACCTCCAGGGGTGGCCCTTCCTCACCCCCAGAAAAGTACAGCTAGGGGCTTCTGCATCTAGATTGGCCTCAGGGGCCCCATAGCCCTGCCCCTTCCCCTGAAGCCAGTCCCTGCTCACTGAGCTGGTTGAACTGCCACCTTGGACAAGACCACCCTCTTTCTGACCTGGAGCAGAGCCTCAACCAAAGGCATGCTGGATGATGGCCAGGACCAGGAATAGGCATTTGGAGGTCAGAAGGGCAGGCATACATCAGGCCAAGGTAGGTGAAGGTGCAGGGGCTCTGAGGCCCCTCCTCTACCTCCCTTTTCTGTTTCCTGTCCCTTCTATCCCCCATCACCTCCACAGAGCTGCTCTCAGGCTCCTCTGTTTCCATTGTGGTTGTTGTTGTTAGGTGCCATCAAGTCCATACTGACTCATAGTGACCGTATGTAAAACAGAATGAAACATTGCCTGGTCCTGGGCCACACTTGAGCCCATTGATGCTGCCACTGTGCCAATCCATCTTGCTGGGGGTCTTCTTCTTCTTCTCTTACCTTCCACTTGACCAACCATGATATCCTTCTCCAGTGATTGGTCCCTCCTGACACTATGTCCAAAGTATGAAAGACAAAGTCTGGTCATCCTGGCTTCCAAGGAGCACTCTGGCTGTACTTCTTCCAACACAGATCTATTTATTCTTTTGGCAGTCTGTGGTATTTTCAATATTCTCCTCCAACACCATAACTCAAATGAATCAATTCGTCATGGGCTTCCTTATTCACTATTCAACTTTCAAATGCATATGAGATTAGTGAAAATACCATGACTTACATCAGGCACACCTTAGTCCTCAAGCTGAAATTTTTGTTCTCCAACACTTTAAAGAGGTCTTGTGCAGCAGATTTGCCCAATACAATATGTCATTTGATTTCTTAACTGCTGCATTTCATTAACACATGAGTATTAATGGTTGATTCAAGCAAATGAAGTCATCGACAACTTCAATCTTTTCTCCATTTATCGTGATGTTATTTATTGGTCCAATGGTGAGAGGATTTTTGTCTTTTTTACAATGAGGTGCAACCCATACCAAAGGTTATGGTCTTTGATCTTCATTAATAAGTATTTTAAGTCCTCTTGGTTTTCAGCAAGCAAGATTTTATCATCTGCATATTGCAGGTTGTTAATGAGCCTGCCTCCAATTCTGATGTCATGTTTTCCTCATGTAACACAGCTTCTCGGATTATCTGTTCAGAACACAGATTGAATAAGATTGAAAGAATACAACTCTGGCACACGCTTTTTCTAATTTTAAACCAGTTGGTATTCCCTTGTTCTATTCAAATAACTGCCTTTTGGTCTATGTACAGGTTCCTCATGAACACAATTAAGCGTTCCAGAATACTCATACTTCTCAATGCTGTCCATAACTTGTCATGATCCACACAATCAAAAGCCTTTGCATAGTCAATAAAGCACAGGTAAACATCTTTCTGATATTCTCTGCTTTCAGCCAAGATCCATCTGACATCAGCAATGATACCCCTCATTCCACATCCTCTTCTGGCACTGACTTGAACCTCTGGAAGTTCTTGTCAATGTATGGTTGCCATTTCTGTATTACCTTTAGTAAAACTTTACTCACATAGGATATCAAAGATTTCCACATTCCATTGGGTCACCTCTCTTTGGAATGGGCACAAATACAGATCTCTTCCAGTTAGTTGGCCAGGTAGTTGCCTTCCAAATTTCTTGGCATAGATGAGTGAGTGCCTCAAGTGCCACTTTACTTTGTTGAAAGATTTCAATTTGTATTCCATCAATTGCCGGTGCCTTATTCTTTGGCAATGACTTAATGCACCTTGGATTTCTTTCCTTCAGTATCATTGGCTCTAGATCATATGCTACCTCTTGAAAAATTGACCGTTTCTTTTTGGTATGGTGACTCTATTCCTTCCATCAAGCATGGCCCAATTGTCACCTGTGACCCAAGCTAGTCTGACCCTCCTTCCAGACCACTAAAGTCCCCAAAGGAACATTATCCAGTGGCTAGTGAGTGTGATGTGGCACTGTAGGAAAAGCGCTGGACTGCTAATCACAAGGTTGGCAATTCAAACCCACAAGCCACACATGGAAAACCCTATACAGGGTCGATATTAGTTGGAACCAATTCAACAGCACTTAACAACAACCATGGGTGTCGGGGACTACTTGAGTCTCAGCCCACCCCTCCTTTAGCCCAATCCCAACATTGATCCAAGGCTACCACTGGGCCCAATTGCTCAGAAGATTTAAGCCAAAGGAACTCCCAGCTGGGCACCCAGGTCATAACAGGGCAGAGTCATAACAGGCAGGATAGAGGGTGGTCTCTTGGGAAATTCAGCCACCTCCAACATGTAGCTGTAATGGTCAACCCAGCCTGGGATGCTGGTCCTCACAGACTCCCCACTGAGGCCTTCCCAATTCCTGAGCAGGAACACAGAGACTCCCCGAGAGGGATTCCGCAGTCTGAAGGCAGGTGGGCCCCAAGGTGAGTCAGAAACAGCAGATCTTGTCTGGAGGTCCAGCTTCCAGCTGCCTCCCCAACCCCCCGGGGTGGACACAGGGTCTTTCAGAGATTGAAGACCCATGGATCTGACTTGGGGGTCTGGGGGCTAGAGTGAGCTGGTTGCTCCTGGAAGCCATTGGAAGTTTCCTAAAGCCCCTCCCTACCCTTCCCTGCATGGGTGACCTTTGCCACAGGTGGAGGCAGAGGTCCGTGGGAAATTCCCAATTTCCTAACTACATCCTGCTTCTGAGCCTAGGCCAGCCTTGGTGGTCTTCCTCCTCTGACCACCACCCAGCCTGGAGGAGGAATTGGCAGCCCACCTCCCCACCTGCCAACCAAGAGATAGCCCCAGAGAGCGATACATGGACCCTGAGGCTGCTTGGAGGGGCAGAGGAACAGGAAGGAAAGCAAAAGTGGACCCTATCACCAATGCTCGATATTGAGAGGGTTCTGGGGATCCCAGCCTGCCTCAACCTCAGACCAACTTGGCAAATCTTCCTGGTTGGGTGCAGCTAGGGGTCACGCGGAGGCTCCAGAGACAGGGACAGCTCTGGGACTCCTGCTGCTGACCACAGTCATTGTCCTGGCCACCCATAGGACAAGATCAAGTGCTGGGGGCCCTCTCGGCACTGAGCCCTCAAGCTTATGTTGATCCCATTCCCCTGCCCGAACATCATCCAGGAGGAGCAACCAGCCCACTCTAGCCCCCAGACCCCCAACCCCGGCCCTCCTGAAGTCTTCATGAATCTGTCAGAAGTGTCCACGGGGGTAGCACAGAGGTGGGACCACCAGGCACAAAGCAGGAAGGTCCTATCAGAGCCACAGGGGTCCAAGGTCACTCAGAAAGGGAGAAGATGAGGGCAAGGAGGACATGGACTTGACCAGAGCCCAAAACACTGCCAACTAGAACCAATGTGATCAACTGGAAGCCAAATCCCAGAACCCAATTAAATGCCTTTGCCAAGGAAGCCCTAACTGACTTATCTGCAGAGGGCCGTCAGCGGCTTTGCATGTTCTGCTTCAGAATTGGATTAGTAAACCATTAGCCCCTAGGACAGGAAGCGGGAGGCCTGCACATCTCAAGGCGGACCTCTGGACCCCTACACATCATTGCCACCTCTGCTGGAGGTCTTGGGGGGGTACCCCAAAGAGTGTCAGAACCAAGGCCTATGAACTTCTCTTTCAGACCAGAGCCAGGGCTGGGGGAGA